CGAGTAAGGTGGGAACCTTTTGGTTTTGGTTTTGTAATTTTTCTTTTCTTTTTCATGGGTGAGGAGAATTATTTTTATCGGCATCATCACGTCTTGTTCCTCTGTCCCTCTCCTTGAAACACTTGAAAATGACGATGGAGGAATTCAAAAAAAAAGAGTTAAAAGTTTCGTGAATGTATAGTTGTGAGATTTTAGTAAATGATGTTACGAAGAGAAATATATAAAGGAAAGTGAGTATTATTTATAGTGATAGTGTCTTTTTTTTTTAAAGAAAATAGATTTATCTCATGGATATTTTTACTTTGGAGACGAACACTCCTAATTTGGAACATTAAAACGAAATTCTTTAATCACTCAAAGGATACCGTTGTAAAAGTGGGTGAGTGTGACTAAATGAGGACGTTTTCGCACAAGTTTATGCATATATATACAGTGAGGGATTTTTTTTTGTTGGTCAGCTAATCTGTGTGAGGAAAAAGAGCTTTATATATTGATATATATATATCAAAGAAATAATAAGTGTATACAGTTTTAAGGGGAAATGAATTAAAGTGAAAAATAAAAAATATATAGGAAGACCGTGGGAAACGCTACATATATATTATGCATGGGTTGTCGGGCAGTGTCGCGGGGGTATGCTCCACAGTCCACCACTACGTGCTTCAAGCTAGTTGCTTGGTTTCTATCCAAGGCTCTTCCGTATCATGACTTCTCTCCTCTTTCTTTCTTACATGTCTATTGATCTGCCCTATCAAATATCATTAGAGTTCAGTAGGACACTCTTATATTTTGTATACACAAGTCTGAAAGATACAATAAAAGCTATCACTTTTAGTAACTTTTCAAGCCGCAAGGAAAAAATACATTGATTTCTTCGTGCGATATTTATGTATATCCGCATATTTGCACATTACTATTGATATTATCCACTATAGCATAGACACTAACGTTGATATTGAGTCCTATACAAGCGGATCAATTTATTTTTTTCTTTTCTTTTTATATATATTTTTTTATTTTTGTGGAGTCAATAACAGAGAAAAAAAATGCAGGTCGATATAAAATTTGGGAGCAAAAGCTATTCCATCGAGGTCCCCGCCGAAGGAGGGACGCTAGGCCAGCTAAAAGCGCGCGTCATGGAGGCAACGGGCATCCTCCCCTCGATGCAAAAGCTATTGGGCAAACCTAAATTGCAAACGAGCCCAGACGACACGCCGTTGGCGGCCCTTGGGATCCGAAACGGATCCAAATTGATGCTCATCGGATCCCAGGTGGAGGCCGTCGTCAGCGCGAACTCCGCGAGCGCCGCTGAGGTCGAAAAAGAGGAGGAGCGCAAACGTCTGATGCGAAACCTGCCGTTTAATTTTTGGCTCCTCCCCTCGTACGGTGGCTTTCTTGGGGATCCCTACCTCGCCGGCCGGGGCGGTACCGTGGAGCGGTGCTCCGCGCTTTTCGCGTTGCTCACGATGGATGTGATTCTCACGCGAATCAACCCGCTCGGCGCCTCTAGTGAGAACCCCCTCGCGACGAGCGCCGCGTTGCTTTCCGTCCTCGGGCGAGAAGGGGGGGCGCGGGTTTCGCATCGGTTTCTTCGCGATATCACGGATGCGCAGCGCGCCGCGCTGCAACGCGCGCACGCGATTTTGCGTCGATGCTACGTCTTCACCGCGGCGGCAAACGCGGCGAGAGGACCTGAGGGGATCCTCCCCGTGATCAACCGTTGCGTGAGCGAGATTGAAGGGCTTCCGGTCGGGGAATGGCTTCTTCTTCCGTCCGGATGGACGACGATCCGATGCTATAACATCGTCTTTCTCCTCCTTAATCGTCGAGGGCCGAATCATTTCGATTTGTACGTCGTGAATCGCGGCGGCGATGGGGCGGAGTACCACCCACGCTGGCAAACCGCCGATAAAATCGTTTCCTGCCCGATTTTACGATTTGAGCACATCGCCCCCAAACGGTTGTTCGATAAGTCCTTCTGGTTGTTGTTGATGTCCTTGTGGATGCGGGCGAACGATCCGGAGGATCAGTCCGAGTTCATCCGTCGGGAGGTCTTCTACGACGCGTTACTTCCCTGGCTGGTGGAGAAGGATCCGAACCACGAGGAGGTGGAGCGTTATGCGAGCGAAATGATGCTGGCAAAAAGCCCCGCGGCGGGTTCCCCGGCCGATCTCAGCTCCGCCACCGGGCCCTCGTTGACAAGAGGGGGGAGCCCTGGGGATTCCACCGCCCCGGATGGGTTTTCGGATTCACCTTTTATTTCAAACCATGGCTGCAGCCCGATTTGTTCCTCCTCGAGTGGGATCAAATCCCTCGTAACGGCGTTTTGCTTTCTTCTCGAGCAGTTTGACGGGCAAACCACGAAGGCGGACCTCAAACGGATTAAACACACCCTGAAGTATGAATTCTTTCTCCGTGCGGTGGAGGATTTGGTGCGGCATGCGGAGCGTTTGATGGGCGATTCGACCGATCTTCCCGTGCGGGGTGCGGTGTCGCCCGCGAATCCCTCGACCGCTGCGGGGTCGAATCGTTTGCAAGGGGCGTTGGATCGGCTTCACCGCCTCGGCGTCGGGAATGGGGGGCAGGAGGAGTTATCGCTAAGCGGTCTTCTCGACGCCGCGTCGGCGAAGCGGGTGGTGTTGAAGAGCTCCAAGAATATCGTCCTCCTGCCGGATCATTTTGCGCGTAAATACGTGCTCGTCTACGTTGGCGCGCTGAGCGCGGTAGGGGGGCGGCAATTCGCGTCCCTGATCGGCGACGCGGCGCCTCGTTTAGCCCGGCAGGACGGCGTCGCCGCCGCCGAGCTGCTTTTTATCAGCGCCGACGAAAACGAGGAGGCGTATGGGGAGCATCTCGCGCTCCTTCCCCACACCTCCCGCGCGGCGTACCCTGCCAGTCTGGAGTTAGTCCGCCGGATGGAGGTCGGGCCGCTGCCGGAGGTGTGGGTGTTTCGCCCGGATGGGGAGTTGTTGCACCGTCAGGGGGTCCGCGCGTTGCGGGCGGATGCCGAGATGGCCGCCTTCCCAGGGGGGGTCTGGCGCGGGGCCGATCCGCTGTCCGCCACGGACGTCCAAATGCTCCGGATCGGCCTCGCGCAGCTGTCGTATCACACGCACAAACGACTCGCGAACGGGGGGTTGGCGGAGGCCGACGCCGCCCACGTCGTGGAGCTCCTGGAGGCCACCGAGGCCGTCGTCGAGGCCCTCCCGCGGGATCACGTGCGCGATCTCACCCTTGGCGGGGGGGGGGATCTCCCCGTTTCGCTTCATCCAACCCTGCGAGCCCCGATTCCTTCCCGGGCTACGGGGTTCGAGAACGCCGATCTCCTGCCAACCACCTCCGTCGCCGCGTACTACGGCACGCCGTTTGAATCCACGGAGCCCGCCTTGGAGGATATTCGGGGGTTTCACCCGGTGCGGAGTTACGCGGAGCTCCTTTCGACGCTGTTGCGGGCGCGCGAGGTCGTCTCCACGTTGTGGGGTCGCGCGCGGCATAGCAGCACCGCCTCCCGCGTGGCGGTGCAGATGCATCTGATTGAATTCATCACTTGGATTTTTTCCACCATCGTTCCCGCGCCGTTGCCGCCGAACGGCGAGGAGGACGAACTCCCCCCTATCGAAAAGGACGTGGCGTCCGCGTTTTATTGGCGGGATGATTTCCCCACCCATGGGGAGCCTCCGGACGCACAGATCGCGATGATGGATTCGATTTATTACCTCATGTTATCCTTGGCGAATGCGTGGCAGGCGGTGGAGACGCCCTCGCGCGCGTTTGATTCCGAGCGTTGTTTGATCGCGATGGAGATGTTAATCGTGCTCGACGTCATCGCGCGGCAGGATCGGGGCGCCTTGCAAGGGCGTCTTCTCGCGCAGCTGCTCTCCGGCGGCGCGGGGTGCTTCCCTTCCACGAGTTTAGGAAAACAGGCGTGGCCGTTCGCGAGGGTCGCCGCCGGGTTGGAGCTCACACGGCCGGAGCTTCTTCCCTTGCGATCCGTCCTGCTGCGCTACATCGACTACCAAACCCGCCACCTCCACGCCGAGCTTTTTGATCTCCGCATGACGGATAAACTCGAGCTCCGTAAGGATAGCCCGACCGTTGGCTTCTTGTGCACCTTCATGGAAAGCGCGGGGTACGCGTTGGATGACTTCCCCGGCATGATCTCGCGCGGGATGACGGAGATGGAGAAGCTCATGATTTGGCTGTGTAGCTCGCGAACCGAGCTCGCGCGGGGGCATCACGAGTTCATCGTCTATCGCGATATGGTCCTCCTGGCGAAGTTTCTCGGAACGATGGAGATGCGAGACGCACAGCTCCTCCGGCGGCGAAAAGAAATCAACCCCATGACGACGTGGCGAATCTCCTTCGAGGAGGACGCGCCGGGGCGGCAGATGAGCGCCGGGTGGCGAACGAACCCCAGCCCGCCACGGTGGGAGTGCGTGATGGTGCGGGGGCGGGATATGGATATCGCCGATCTCGTGGTCAAAGGCTTTGGCGATCGCGAGGTGATGTTCGGCGAGGGACTTCTCCTGCAATCCCCGATCGACGTCGGGCGTTTCATCGAGGTCGATCACGCCACCGAGGAGGATGTGCTGCACGCGGAGCCGCTGCCGAACTTCGGCGGTTCCGTCGACGCGGAAGGGTCGGAGGTGTTGCTTTCCTGTCTAACCGCGCCCTACATACGGATTCCTCTGATTCTCGATTTTTTTTCCACCCAGGGACGGAATACCTATCTCTTCGCGCCCGAAGCGCAACAGATGTTACGCGCGGTGCTGTTCGAACCCGGCGCGTACGTCTCCCGCGAGCGTTTTGCCACGGCCGATCCCCGGGACCTTCCCCTTCGCCTGAACGCCCAACAGCGGGCGGAGGTCGAACTCAGCCACCTTCGTGGAGATTTTAGCAAACAAAACAATGAGGATTGCCTGGGGACGACCTACGGATTGCTTCTGAATGAACTCATCCACGCCCCTGTTTCCGTGTTGCAGCCGCTCCAACGATTGCTGGAGACGATCACGGAGCTCGGGCCGAGCTCTGTGTACAGCCCGAACGCGTCGTACGTGCTTTTTGTGGTGAGTTTGCTCTGCGAGGTTTTCACGTTCTGCGAGTTTGTCTGCGCGAAGCAACTCTCGACGCAGCCGGGTTTGTTGGAGACCTTTCATTGGAACTTCTTGCACTTTCTGGAGGAGCGGGTGGAGCCGCTGCTGTGTGAGTGGCTGCACGAGGGTGAGGCGAATCGGGATACCCCGACACAGTGCGTGATTTACGCCTACAAGGCGATCTTAGAGCGGGCGCTGTGGCGGGGTCTTTCCGCGTTGGAAAGGGCCTCCGCGGAATCCCCTTCCGGCGGTGCGGCGGACGCTTCTCCGCCGTTGGTCCGACAGCCCAAGACCGTTTATCTCGCGAAGTTCCTCCAATCCTGCGCCTTTGTTCGCGCGCGGCATGGGTTTGGGATGGGGATGCAGCGCACCCAGCTGGTCCTGCAGGCCGGCGATGACGTCCTCTCGCCGGAGGCGAAACTTCTGCGCTTTTTGCAGGCCCAAGGCCTGGACACCTCGCAGGTCTCGCACGAGATGTTGGCGCAGGGAAAGCGGCTGATGATGAGCGGCGGCCTCCGTCGGGCGGTGTTCGTGCAGATCCGCAGCAGCACCCATGAGGATACCGTGCGGGTGCCGAACCTCACCCGTTGCCGCCCCGACAGCGTCACGGCGGCGAAGCGGCATAAACTCCCCCCGGCGGACGTCCCGGAGCAGGTCCTCTTCCACTACCTCCTCGCGGATCACGCGGGGGTGGTGGGGTTCCTCGACGCGCAGCCCGCGG